GGCCTGCTGTGTTCATCCAGCTCTACACCTTGCTATCAATGAGTTTACTCCTTGATTTCTGGTACTCTCCGCAACCATTCCTCGTATTCCAATGTTGGCAGTGTGTTACAACTTCTATTAAGTCAGAGTTGCTATGGCAACGTGCACTTTCACCGGAATGTTGCAGTCTGGACAGTGCTGGTGGAGGCTCTGAACTTCTGCACGTCACATAGGGCTGAGCAGGAATCTCTTCCCTTTCTAATGACTGCCTGACATCGCTGTTTGTTGGAAGGATTTGCAGTTGATGCATGACCTATTTACCTTCATTATCACCACGTCTCCATCGGCCCCTGGAGTGTGACTCCAACGTGTGTTTCTGAGTCAGAGGTAGCGATGCTGCCCACTTTGCCATTAAGCCTCCTTAACGTCAGTTTTGCAAGGTTTCATTCTGAGTGGCTCTTCCAAAAGATATTTGAGCATCAAGCCCAGTTTAAGAGGGAGTACTTCCCAGTCAGCCCCTGCTGTTGCCTCTGATGGTCAGCCTTTCCAAATGGCCAATCACCAAAAAAATGCAATTTTGGAAAATTCTAAATTTGAGTCTGTTCGATTGAACTTGCCCAAACACAGGACCCGCCTCTCAGCACCAGGGACCCGGTTTGATTCCACCCTCGGGCGACAGTCTGTGTGGAGTTTGCACATTCTCCCCATATCTGCAGGGGTTTCTTCCAGATGTTCCAGTTTCCTCCCACAGTCCAAAGACGTGCAGGTTAGGTGGATTGGCCATGGGAAATTGCCTTGCAGTGTCCAGGCATGTGCTGGTTTATATGAATTGGCCATGGTTTCTTTTAAAAAAAAAACTATCCAGGGTTACGGGGATGCGATGCCCTTCGGAGGGTCAGTGCAGACCCGATGGGCTGAATGGCCTCTTCCTGTTCTGTAGAGATTCTATAACAGCCAAAATGAGATCTCTGTACAGTGTGACTTGTAATTCTGAAAGATCGGTCAAGGTTGTTTTAATAAATTTGAAATTTATTAGTGTATAAATTTGGCCTTTCATCACTTAATAAGACCTAACATGACACTTGATTTGGGATCATTGCATTTCATGAGGGGGAGGTGACAGCCTGGTGGTATTATCGCTAGACTATTAATTCAAAGACTCACATGCCATTCTGTAAAACTGGGTTTAAATCCAGCCACAGCAGATGGTAGAATTTGAATAAAATCTGGAATTAAGAGTCTAAGTTTACAACTGTTGCCAATTGTCATAGAAACCCATCTGGTTCACTAGTGTCCTTTTAGGGAAAGAAACTGTCTCACTCAGCCAGTCTGGCCTAAATGTGACTTCTGGCCTGCAGCAATGTGGTTGACAATTAACTGCTGTGTGGGCAATTAGGGATGGACAATAAATTTTGGCCTAGCCAGTGACACCCTCATCCTGCGAATGAATAAAAACAAAATCTCTGATGGTGCGTTAATTTGCCTGCATAATGATCACTTTGAATTTTCAGTTTATTTTCTCTCTCTCAAAGGCCCTTCTGGTTAACATTAATCCTTGTCGTGTTGATTCAACACATACTGGCTCGACTCCTGTTTCTTCAGAAGGATGGGAAACAATTTATCCTCACCAACAGGTACAGGAGTTTTGATCGTTACGAGAGTACTGTAAATTCCTGAGCGCTGAGAGAGTTTAAAAATGTTAGTTAATTGGTATTGTATTAACTGCATTTATCCATTGTGTATTGGCCAGACGCTGGTCTCTGAGCCACAAGGTTTAATTGAATTGAATGATTTATTTATTGTCCCTTGTATTTTACAGTGAATAATATAGTAAAATACAATGAAAAGCTTCAAATGTCACCACAATCCAGTGCCATTTTGAATAGTTTAAGAATAAAAAGATATAATTGAAAAAGAGTCTATCTTCGTTCAGAGACGAGAGCAGTGACCTGCCAGATGTTTTGACAAGACTTTAAAGGATTTGTTAATTTAGATGAACGTGCATTCCCACAGCATTATTTGAAGACTGGGAGTGTTCCCACAAGTATCTTGGCCAATATTTATCCCTCAATCAACATCTCAACAGCAAATGATCTGGTCACTTGGTGAAGATAATGGGGTATTGGTAATGTCCCTGCACTAGTAACCCAGATCCAATGGCTAATGATCTGGAAATATGGTTCAAACTGCACTGCAGCAGTTTGTGAATTTAAATTCAATTAATAAATCTGGCTAATTGAAATAGAGTCATTGGTGATGGTGACCATAAAACTGTCATGTATTGGTGTTAAAGCCCATTTGACTTACCAGTGCCTGAAAATCTGCTGCCCTTACCCGGTCTGGTCTACTTGTGACTCCTGACCCGCAGCAATGTGGTTAATTCTTAGCTGCCCTCTGAAATGGCCCTAGCATGCCACTCGATTTAAGGGCCATTAGGGATGGGCAACAAAAGCTGGCCTGGCCGTCCACACGTACGTTCTCACAAAGGAATAAGAAAAATAAAATCACCACGGGCAGCATGGTGGCTCACTAGTTAGCACTGCTGCCTCACAGCGCAAGGGACCTGGGTTCGATTCCACCGTCCGGCAACTGTGTAGAGTTTGTACGTTCTCCTCATGTCTGCATGGATTTCCTCCGGGTGCTCCGGTTTCCTTCCACAATCCAAAATTGTGCAGGTCAAGTGGATTGGTCATGGGAAATTGCCCATAACATCTAGAGATGTGTAGGCTAGGTGGATTAGCCACTGGAAATGCAGGGTTAGGGTAGGGGGTGGGTCTGGGTGGGATGTTCTTCAGGGGATCAGTGTGGACTTAATGGGCCAAATTCCGTCCTTCCACACTGTAAAGCTTCTTCATCCTACGATAAGGAGAACTCCAGTATTAAGATAAGAACAGAAATTGCTGGAAAAGCTCAGCAGGTCTGGCAGCATCTGTGGAGAGAAATCAGAGTTAACATTTTGGGTCATCTTTCTATAGCAGGGAGACAAGAATTGAATGCAGTATTCTTAAAGTGACCTCACCAAAGTCGTGTACAGCCATAACATGACGTCCCAAATCATACACGGCACTGACCCCATGAAGGTAAACACACCAAACTCATCGTGTATCGCTGCAACTCCACTTTCTAAGAAATATGCACCTGCACCCCTAGATCTCTTTGTTTGGCAACACTCCCCAGGGCCCCACCATTAACTTTTTTATACAACTGACCTTACTGTATTATTTTTCTCTTTCACTGCAGACGAAGCCTGTATATCTTCACTTACCTGCTTTTCACTTTCAATGTTCTGATTGGGGTCATTGCCGGTGTGTGGAGAGTCGTCTTCACAGCTCTATACAACATTGTCCATTTTTGCCGACTGGACCTTGGCCTTATAAATCGTGGGGCGGAGTTTTTTGACCCAGGTAACTGTCTTGAGCTGCTTTCTTTATGTTCTGTAGTCTATTTATTTTCATTTGAAACTGCATTAGTATCTCACTGTTGTACTGGCAATGTGTTTAGTTTTATTTTAAAGAAAGCTATATGTTGGCTTGTGAAACCAAAACTGTTCTTTTAAAATAACTCAGAGATTGTAAGAACTGCCGATGCTGGAGTCAGAGGTAACACAGTGTGGAACTGGAGGAACACAGCAGGCCAGGCAGCATCAGAGGAGCAGGAAAGCTGCTCTTTTGAAATGTTGCTTTTAAACTAGTGAAAAGCTACCAATGTGGTGAAGTGTTATTTTCCAAATTCCTGTTGTGACACAAACCAACAGTGTAGCTTCACATTCTGCCTTAGAAGGCAGTGGGAATGGGGGTCATTGAATATTTCTAAGGTGGAAGTGGATAGATTTTGTTTTGTGAGACAAGGAAATCAAAAGCTGCTGGGTTTTTATCATACAGGAACAGCAAGACAAACCAAATCAGTCTCACTATCGCAGGATTCCTAATTCAATGAACCTCAAAATTGGTCAGTTGTTTCTAACCAGAATTTACACAACAGATTTAAAACATATTTATAACTTAAACAACAATTAGCAATATATTGTTAAGAATGTAACTTCAGCAGAACACAGAAACAACAAGATAACTAATTAATATCTATAATCTAAGCCCAATCTTCTTTGATTATAAAGCCTCTCTTTTTTTCACACGCAGAAAGACACATGCAGTTAAGGGATAAATTTAAAAAGAAAATAAAAGAATCATAATTTGCCAGTTCAATGATCGTTTCAACAATAAATACTTTAGTTAGGCCTTCATGAAGTCCTTGGATAATGGGTTATGTTACAAGCACATAGGACTGTATATCTTCCTTGATGTCAGAAATCACTGGTCAATGCAAACAGCTTCCACAGAGTCTTTGAAGACATTTTATTTTACCTATTTCTTATCGAATGGGGTTCATTTCTCAGAACATTCAACAAGTTGATAGTTTGAGGATAATGAGAGAGCAAAACCAAAAACAACTTCCCAGTCTGGCAGCTTCTAAAGCATAACTGCCTACAGCCCAAAACCCAGTCAGCACCAGTTCACTCGGAGATAGTAAGAACTGCCGATGCTGGAGACCGAGACAACAGCGTGGAGCTGGAGGAACACAGCAGGCCAGGCAGCAACAGAGGAGCAGGAAAATTAACGTTTTGGGTCAGGACCCTTTTTCAGTTCACTCTTTGCTTTCTCATTCTTTTCGAAATTTTCCATGATTGGCTGGCCAGCACCGATCTTCCTTTGACCAATTCAACATCCAAACATCTGCCAGTCCCTGAACATAAGAGCATCTTGGTGCCAAATCATCTACAGTGTTCTTAGAGCAGTAATTAACCTGCATTATCTTTCCAGGCCAGTTCCCAACAGGAAACTTCGATCTTTTGTGTTTTTTTTGAAAGAACAGGCTGCTATCTAAAATTCAATTCTCAATTGCAACTCAACATTCCAAACTTAAAAATGAGAAAAATTTAGATAAAATAATGCTTTCAACAGGGTATGGATGGAAATGTGGAACTCAAAACGCAGGTAGATCAGCTGTAGTCCTTTTTGAATGGTACAGCAGTCTCAAAGGGATGAATGGCCTACATCTACTCTTGCATCTTTGTCTCTGTCTCTGCTCCAATTGAACACTGAATGATATAAATGAGACTGTGGTTCTATTGTTTTTCATATTATCACGTTGTCCTTTATTTGAATGATGAAACATTGTATTTCTGTTGCAAAATGCTGATGATTTATCACTTCAATTGTCCTGGGCCTCTATTGGAGCACAGCATTGTATATCTCAGCCCTCCTGCCTCTCGGAGAATCTCCTGGGCTCCAACAAATTCTTCTACTTAGCGTCCAGACAGTGTGCTTTGTCCGATTTAAAAATAAATAATATTGGGACAGTTAATCTGGACCAGAAGTGTTGCTTTATCACTGGGGATTCCCCCTGAGTCCTTCATTTTTAACCCTACTGTTCATGAAGAATACTGTCAACGTACAAGCCTGTTGGAGATGGGCTAGTATTTTTGAAATAAGATCTGATTTTTGCCCATTTAGAAAGGTGGTGGTGTTGTCAGTGTGTAGATACATAGGTGTTAAACTTTGTTTTCCTTGTCTCAGTGATTTTCATTAGATTTCAGGATGAGCGGTCAACACAAATTAAGGGGTGGGGTTTTCCAAATCTCTTTGCCTCTGCACAACAAATTTACTAACAACGCCTTTTGTATAGGGTTGAGAAAATGGTGATTGTTTTGTTAATGAGGGAGGTGGTGGTCTAGTGGTATTATCCCTAGAATTTTCATCTGGAGACACCAGGCAATGTATGGGAACCAGGTTCAAACCCTGCCATGTGGAATTCAAGCTTTAAAAAAGTGGAATTAAGAGTCCAACAATGATCATGTAACCATTGTCAGTTCATAGAATCCCTACAGTGCAGAAAAAGGCCATTTAGCCCAAAGAGTCCACACTGACCCTCTGAAGAGCTTTCCACCCAGACTCTGTCCCCACCTATAACGCTGCATTTCCTCTGGCTAATTCACTAGCTTGCACATCCCTGGATACTTTGGAGCAATTTAGCATGGCCAATCCACCTAACCTGCGTATCTTTGGACTGTGGGAGGAAACCGAAACACCCAGAGGAAACCCACGCAGACACTGGGAGAATGTGCAAACTCCACACAGACAGTCACCCGAGGCTGGAATCGAACCTGGATCCCTGGTGCTGTAAGGCAGCAGTGCTAACCACTGAGCCACCTATTGTTGGAGAAACACATCTGGTTCATTTAACGTCCTAAGGGAAAGCAATCTGCCATCCTTACCTGGTCTGGACTCCAGACCCACAGCAGTGCCCTCTGCACCATTAGGGATGGGCAATAAAGACTGGACCTAGCCAGTGGTGCCCACATCCTATGAATGAATAGAAAAACATCCATAAGAAGTGTTAGGAAGTTGGGAATCCACATCCTAAATCGTGCAACTTCTGGAAGCGACTGTCCAACAGTGTGCACGTGATGCACCTTTGTATGAATTTCAGTACTGTGCCTTTTTCATTTCAGTTCCCAGTTAATAAATCTACAACTGACACCTAATCTCAGTGATAGTGACCATGCCAGCTATCACCAATGGTCGTAAAAACCCATCTGGTTCATTAATGCCCTCGGGAAGAAAATCTGGTGTCCTTACCTGGTCTGGCCTACATGTGACCCACTGCCACATGTTTAGTGCTTATCTGGCCTCTGAAATGGTCTTAGTGAGCCATTCAATTCAAGGAAATTTAGGGGTGGGCCACAAATCTTGAGTTTGCCAGCAACATCCACATCCCATGAGAGGATCAAGAAAGAAAAATTCTCTTGCATCTGTCCCTGTGCATGTGTGGTTTATTGAATAACTAGGATCCAACTGCAGCCAATGAAGGCTGCATAGAGAATTGCTGTCTTTTTTTTTTCTTTCTGCAGGCTATCACTGCTACTCCAACTTCCTGGAAGTGGAAGCCAGTCAGTCTCATCGAGTGATGAAAGCTTTTTGCTTCCTCCTACTTGAATGCCAAAGTTCTGGGAGAAATTGCAGTGATAAAAGCAAATCTGTGGAAGAAGGTCAGTAATTGCACAGTGCAAAGAAAGAAATTCAAAAACTAACTGGGAGACTTTTTTCTTAAAAAAAATACAACGTTTAGAATTCTGACACACAGATATGTTCCTGGTTTTATTTTTCCAGTGCTTATTTGATGTAAAACTCCTATGTATGCGAGCAGGGTCAGGTACTGCCATATACAAACTAGACCTGCCTTCACTCTTTAAACTGTGCCATACCAAGTGATAGGGATAATGAATGCAATACAGTTTGTAGTTACACAATAGTTAATGAGCTTTCAAATATGGAAAGTCAATATATGAATTACTACACTCTGTCTCTTGTGAGGCTGCTATCTCCCAGCATTTATTTTTAAAGCTTTCTAGTGACCAGTTTATATTATAATAAAATGTGACAAATATATGATTGGATGCTCACCTACATATTGACCATTCTATTGTAAATTTCTGTGTTCTAAATTATAATGTAAACTTGTAACACTGTAATTGTAGCCTCCCACCACTAATGATGCTGTAGCGCTGACATTTTGCTTCTCCTTCACCTGAACTGCAGAGAAATGTCCTGGCTTTAATTAATTCTACTTTCTGAAGTGCTGCACATTTTGCTACATGTTGCCTGTGAGGATTTCTAGCCATTCTGATGTATGTGTTCTGAATCCCAGGGATTCGGTTGGTGCCTGATCAGAAGCAGACAAAATTGACAAAGTCTAAACAAGTTCTGGCAAGATGGTGCCTGATCTACACGCTCCTGAACAATCCTTCATTGGTCCGCTGCAGGAGGCCTGCAGTTTGCTCTCCCACTGACGTAGTTACCAATGGGGAAATGAAGAGTTCTTCCAAGCCCAGCACAGAGGATCTTGTTAAATCTGAACTTTGTGAAAAAATACAAGGGCCTGTATAAATCAGAGTTCCCTGTTGATGCAACTAATTACAAGCAGGAGGTCAGTCACATTTCTACACAGCTAAATAAAAATGTGCATAATTGCATACATCGCACCTACACACATCACATCCTCTCGCAATAATTGGGCAAATTTTCCCATTTTCGGTTTTGCTATGTCAACGATCACAACGTAATTACAGACTCTGGCCACTAGGTAGCTCTATGGAGCAAGTTCCACGCACTCAATTCCATATAACCTTCTATTTTAAAAAAAAAACATTTTTAATTCAACATCTAACCTACGTCAACACTAGGATTATTTTTAGTGGTCATATATTACTAGGATTACTTATTTGCCTTTTCGTAGCTTTTGGACTTTATTACTAATGGTGATGGGGGCTGGTTTGAATTTTTACAAACAGTTAGTATGAGAATGAGTCACAATGAAGTACTTACGCTATGTAATCGTGTACAGCCTTTCCTCCAATGAGATACATCTCAAGACCCCAGATGGTAAATATTTTAAAATGAAAACTATTCGGTGCTACAGTTTTAATTTGGTACTATACAATGTCAGTATTACTGAGGAAAATACACATTTTGTCAAAGCTTTTCACTTGACAGTTATCAGGTAATTTACAAGAATACTAATTCCAGATGACGGCAAACCAGCATTTCTACTGCATAAGAGAAGAGTGCTGATTGGTTGGTTAATGAATGAACTCTGATTGGTAGAGGTGTTACCATGGAGAATGCACCAATGATGCTGATTGACAGTTAACTGTCAGGCTTTGTTTAAATTTTAAGTCAGGTGGGTTCACTTTGTTTGGTCAGGGCATTTCTCTGAGAAATAAACTAACACATTGTTGTCATCTGTTTTATTAAGATGTTGACAAAATGTATCTTTTCTTTCAGCAATACACTGTTGTAAAAATCTAGGGGAGAAGAAAAAATGTTAATTTAATGTGCTGAATTTTGAAATTTTTTTTCAAATGCTTCCTTTAAATTTTATACCCTGTGCCCACTAGCTTAAAAACTGTTAAAATAACATATTAGTTTCTAAATGCCAAAAATTTTGGTACCATATTCCCATGAAGAGTTTTCCTAAATTTGTTTAAAAAAAAAATTGAACTCTCTCTCTCCTGTATGGTTTTTTTGTCATTCACCTCTACTGGATTTTTAAAGTATTATCACTGGTGGTCATTGTTACTGCAGTGAAATTACAGCTCATTGCAGAGTATCTTGCTGCGAATATTCAGTTTTTATGCTGAGGGAATTGGAATTGGAGTTGGGAGATCTTGTTGCTCGTCATTATGGACGCTGCCAAACATACACGAGAAGCCATCACAAAGTAAAGTAGGGGATGATCGTAGCCCCTTACCGGATTGAAACTGATATACCATGGTGCCATTTGCCATGGAGATTTGGCAGATAGTTAACATTTAGCTGAGAGGTTGCAATGACTCTCTGTAAATGATTCTCAACCTCCACTGTTTCAATTTGAGATATTTAGAGATCCTAGCTTTGTAGACATAGATTATACATCTTTGGGTCCTTTTGTAAGCTCTCCAAACCCTGCACACACAAGTGAAAATTGTGGCCAACTGCATAATTTTCCTACAAGTTGCAAAGGTTTGCAGTACTATTTAGAAGAGAGTCACACTATAGAAGATTTTCACCTTTTTACTTATTAGAGCAGGCGCATATTAAAGAGTATGGGAGGGCACTCTTGGAGGAGCAGCACCAGGCATGCCCATAAATGAGCTGTTAACCTGAGCTACAAAACAGGACTACTTGTTGCCAAACTTGAAAGCAGTATGCGCTAGACAGACCTGGGTGATTCCACAAACAATGCATCAGATTGGAACTCTGCAGCCCTGCCACATCCAGCAGTGAATGGTTGTGGACAATTAAACAACCTGCTGGAATAGAGGACCCCATAAATTCCTCCAACCTCAATAATGAGGGAGCCCAGCACATCATGGGGAAGTGATGGCCTAGTGGTCTTATCGCTGGAGTATTAATCCAGAGAACTTGGTAATGTTCTGAGGACCCAAGATCGAATCTTGCCATGGCAGATGGTGGAATTTCAAATTCGATGAGTATCTGGAATTAGGAGTCTAATGATAACTATGAAACAATTTGTTGATTATCAGTAAAGCCTATCTGGTTCATTAATGTCCTTTAGGGAAGGAAACTGCCATCCTTACCTGGTCTGGCCTACATGTGACTCCAGACCCACAGCAACATGGTTGACACTTAATGTCCCTTGGGTAATTAAGGATAGGTGATAAAGGTTCACCTGGCCAGTCATGCCCACATCCCATGGAAGAATAATAAATATCAGTACACAAGTTAAGGCCAGTATCTTCAGCCAGAAGTGTTGATCTTCATGATCTTTCTTGGCCTCTTCTTAGTCCCCAGTGTCATGGATGCCAGTCTTCAGCCAATTAGATTCACTCTGTGTGATAACCAGGCAAGGCAGTGGATACTGTACATGCACATGCATACAGTTTTAAGGACTTGTGCCCTCAAACTTGCCACACCCCTAGCCAAGTTGTTTGTATATAGCTACGACAATGGCATCTACCTGACAATGTGGAAAATTGCCCTGATGTTTCCTATGCACAGCAGGTCAAATCAAATCCAGCCGATTACTGCCTCATCAATCTACTCTCAATCATCAGCAAAGTGTTGGAAACACTATCAAGCAGCATTTAGTCAACAGTAACCTGCTTATTTGTTTGGGTTCCACCATAGCTATTCAGTTCTTGACCTCATTAGTCAAAATATGGAAAACGATCTGAACTCCAGAGATGGGGTTACAGTGACTTCTGTTGACCTGAAGGCCTCATTTGACAGAGTGCGACATCAAGGAAGCCTAGCAAGACTAGAGCCAATAGGAATCAGTGGGAAAACTCTTTCTGCTAGTTGGAGTTGTAACTGGCATAAAGGAAGATGATTGTGATTGTTAGTTATCTCAGTTCTGTGACATTAAGGGAGTTCTTCAGAGTAGATATTCTTTGAATCAACTTGTTCACAGATGTTAATACATACCTCTGGAGCAGGTGGGACTTGAACCTGACCTTCTGGCTGAAAGGTAGGGACATTACCACTGCACCACAAAAGCCCAGTTCTTCAGCCCAACCATCTTGAGCTGCTGCTTCAATGATGTTCTATCCATCATGAGGTCAGAGGTACAGATACTTGCTGATGATTGCACAGTGTTCAATACGGTGGCTCAGTGGTTAGCACTGCTGCCTCACAGGTCCAGGGACCCAGGTTCAATTCCAGCCTTGGGCGACTGTCTGTGTGGAGTTTGCACAGTCTCCCTTTGTTTCATGGGTTTCCTCCAGGTACTCTGGTTTCCTCCCGCAGTCCAAAGATGTGCAGGTGAGGCGGATTGCCTATGCTAAATTGCCCATAGTGTCTAGGGTAGGAAATGCAGGAAAAGGATAAGGGGTGGATCTGGGTGGAATGCTGTTCGTGAGGATCGGTGTGGACTCAATGGGCTGAATACCGTGCTTCCACACTGTAGGGATTCGATTCTATGAACATGATTCATTTCTCCTTGGATAGTGAAGTAGTCCATGTACAAATGGAGCAAAAGCTGGGCAGTATTAGGCTTGGGTTGATAAATGACCCGGTGCATTAGTGCTGCACAAGTGCCAAGCAATGACCATCTCCAGTAAGAGAGTATTCAGCCATTGCCCCGCAACATTCAATGGCATTACCATGTCAGAAATCTCCACTATCAATACGCTGGAGGTTATCACTAGCTAGAAATTGAACAGGACTAGTTTTTTTTAAATACTATGTCTACAAGAGCAGGCCAGAGGCCAGGAATCTTGCAGGAGTAACTCACCTTCTGACTCCTGAAATCTGTCCATCATCTACAAGGCGCAAGTCAGGACAGTATTGGAACAGTGTCTACACACTACTCCAGAAGCTTGATACAATCCAGGACAAAACAGCTACTGGCACTCCATCTAATGGTGTTATTGTTCCTTCCTTTTACCACTAATGATTAAATTAGAAACTGAGAACATTGATCAGATGGCAGTATTGGTTTGGTGCTAATCTCTGGTAAGTGTGGTAACGTTTTGAGTTGGACCTGCCTGTAATCTGTTGATTTAAAGTACTTGAAATATAATGGGTGGGACAATTTAGTTATCTCTAGTCTTTCTTTATGGCAGCCATGCGACCTCCACTTTACAATAACATTTGTTTTTGACGATGCCTGTTAATTCAGCACATTTCACTGATTAGAGAAGGGTGGGAGGATGCCTTTTGAAGATTTGTAAAATTATGTTTCCTTTTCCAACATATCTGCCCTTACTCCTGCAGCTAAAAAAAACACTTGAAGTTCTTGCTAAATTAGCATTGGACTGTGGTGCGTTTTAAATATGTTTGCCCATTTTGATCCCAATGTGCCAAAATGACCAAAGGTGCCTTTAATACATATACATACACTGACTTAGAATCACTTTACCTTGAGAAATGAGTCCTTTTCTTTAATGCGATATAGATGTATTTTACTGTGCTGCTGTTATATGCTCTTACTGTTTATACAATAAATACAATTATTACACTGAAGCTGTAACTGATTTCAGATGTTTTTACTTTCTTGAGGGCTTATTTTCCTCCACATCTGACAATGATTCACTCATTTTCCAGGATCTGAATGCACGCTCTTGTATTTAAAATTACACTATCTGTATCTGGGGTGTGGCTGAGTATCTGTGTAATTCTTCACGCTGAGATAAGATTTCAACTTGCATTTATACAGTGCCTCCTTAAATTAGTAAAATGCCCCAAGGCGCTTCACAGGAGTATCACCAAATGAAAATAAACTGATAGCAAGCCAAAGGCAACATCAGGAAGCACCCTTGCAAAAACAGGCTTTAAGGAAAGAGGTAAAGGGAGGGTGAGAATTTTCAGGTTGAAATTTCAGAGCTTGGGACCCAAATAGCTGAAGGCACCAAGAGTGGATGAGGACATAAGGGAAGCAATATAAAGAATGGATTATGAGAAGCAAAAATACCTCCACAAGCTGCAGTATGTAGATGATAATTATCAAATTACCCTTGAGATAAACGATTGTGCCTGGAATGAGAAAATGTAGCCAGCTCATGGTAAGTGCCTGCCCATCAACTAGGATTTGAGACATAATCATAAAACACTGGTGTGTTTGTGTGTGTAATCTGTCAGAAAGAGGTGGCATTAGTGAAGGTACCTGTTGTAGATCATGGTGCTTGTCCATCATTTCATGGCAATACGAGTGGAACTGCGCATGAGCTTGACAGAACTAGTGACTGGCATCTTACAGCTACTGTTTGAAACTATTGATTTTGGATTTCATCTGGAGTGTCCTGATAGGGGCCCAACCCCACTTAACTACACAAAAACATGATGGATCACTGGTTCTAATGAGACCCCTGTTGAGTTGATTTTAAACCTCCCATGTTAAGTATCCCTTTAACCTACTTGTAGAAAGATGTGTCCTGATGATAATAATAAAAAACTTGCCATTTGTATTTTCTCTCTCTATCTCTGTACCACTCCCCCTCCCCCTCCTCCTCATGAGTGACAGCCCTGGCCCCCAAAGGTCCTCCTTGAATAATTTAATTCTGATTGATCTGACCTGCTTCATTTGAAACCTTCTGGATTTATTTTTAAATCCATTTATATGGAAATGACAGGTTGCTCTTGCTACATGAACCTAGTGACTTAAGGCAATGTTTCCTCAAATTGGTACCAGGAGGCTAAAAACACAAATTTCCAAACGAGTCCAGAGACAACATTGGGATATACTGTACTGCAAATTGGTTTACAAGGCTGTATTTGGTAGTGTCACATGTGATGGACCTGTAACACACCACATCAGTAAAAGTAGAATAATCTGACACTGTCCAGACATGTAGCACAGTCTCGCTGTGTTGGAGCAATCAGTCTACTGAACAACATGTTGTCAGGGTATGTTTGTGAATGTGGAGGATCTCTATCGGGAAGTTTCCTTTACATTCATGTTGGCCTGGGTACAGAGTATACAAGTCCCAGCAAGAAATGAAGTACAAATGAAGGTCACCTTGAGCTCCTGGTATTCATGATTATAAACCTTGGAAGTTAGCAAAGAGTGGGGACATGTTCTGAGATTCAGCTCCTGCGACCATAAGTGGAAATTAGTAGAGGCACACAATGACATAATGATAGTTTCAGTGGACCAGTGCCCAGAGGCTGGTTCTAGGCACTATGAAGATACTATGACTTTAAGAGGTGTATTTTGTTCTGGGTATTTTTTTGGAGAGGTTTTAAGGCAGAGGTGCAGAGCTGTCAATTGATAACTTGTAAAATAAACAGTTTGTGCAGCCTTGGGTTTTTTTAAAAGTTGAAACAATAGAAGCAGCCTTAATGGGTGTGGTCAAACTCCCACAGAACCATCATTTATAATTTTACCTTACAACAGTTGCTGCTGAGAACTTAAAGAAGTGGAAGCTATTTTTATCCCTCTCAGTTACAGCTAAAAGCTGGGGGTTCTCTTCCTGCTACTGGACTTGCATGTGAAACAACTTGTTTTCTGAATTTGCCTTTTGCCAAGGGTGTGTTTTTGTGATGTTAGTATATTGGAACAGTTACTGTTTAGTAGTAAAATAATCCATTATTCCATTAAGTTTTCCAATAGAGTTAAGTTATTCCAATTTCTTCTTTGTATGGTTGTATTTTAACTGTAGTGGATAAAATAAAGTGTGTTATGCTTTAAATCCAGTAGTTTGGCCAACCGAATTGCAGCTGGAATGAAATGCCAGACACTTTGCTTTAAAATAGGAAAAAGTTAGGATCTAGGATATCTTCTTCATGTATTTTGGGGTTGGGTCTGGTCTGGTCCGTAATGGGACAGGCATTCAAATACCACTACTAGAAGGTTTGATTTCACTTAATAAATCTATAATTGGAAGCTAAAATGATGGATGGGGGCCATGACTACTCTCATCTCAATCTGTTGTTTTTAAGAAAAAACCATCTCCTTTACTATTCAGGGAAGGAAATCTGCCGTCCTTACCTGGTCTGGCCTACATGTAACTCCAGAGGCATAGTAATGTGGTTGACCCTTAACCACTTTCTGAAGTGGCCCAATGAGCCACTCAATTCACAGGCAATTAAAGAATAAAGGCTAACCTCACCAGTGACACTCACATTCCATGGAAGAATAAAGGAAGAAATACATAAGTGATCAAATGGAAAAGTCCGTTATGATGCCTCCACAATTTCACAAAGTTTCTAAGCTTCCTTGACACCCTAATGTTATTTGATCTATTTCCAGAATTTTTTCTTGTTTTTCTGAAACGTGACCTACTTTTGTAGTTGATCTCTTGCCCCAATTCAGCAGTTTGTGAGTTTGAATCCCCGTCCTGCACAAAGTCAAGGTTGACATTTTTCCATGTGGCACTGAGGGACTGCTACACTGTCGGAGGTGCCGTTGTCCAGACACAATGTGAAACTGAGGCTCTGCCCACCCTCTCAGCGACACATTGCAGATGCTGAACACACTTTCAACTCAAAGTGGAGCTCCCCGGGGTCCTGGACAGTATTTATCTCTCAACCAATATTGTTAAATTCAGATCATTGCTTCATTGCTGTTGGGTATGGGTGAATGTTTTGTGCATACTGGCTATTGTTTCTCCTATAGTTCAAAAGTGGTTCTAATTTATAAGTACATTAGATCTAAAACATTTTGGGATATCCTGAGGTCATAGAAGGTGATATATAAGGGCAAGTTTTTCTTTAATTTACAGCAGCTGAAGAACATTTATTCTTCCAGTGGAAATTGGAGTCAGAAAATAGATTGGCAGTCAAATATCAAAGTTAGCAACAAAGGTTTTTCATCAATCATAATAGAACTTATAATCTGTTAGCTCTATGGAGCTGGCTTGTCTGGAAGTAAACGCTGAGTTTAACACAACTTCAGGACCTGAGCAGGTCACGTAGGCTGACATCTTAATGCTTTAAGATTTTAGAGTAGATAGCTCGGCGAGCCAACCAACCACAACTTAATGCTTATATTCTCATTGAAACATTCCAAGATCTTGAAGAGTCTGATAGGGTAGACACTGAGAAATTGGTCACATCAGCTAAGGTGCAGCTTCAAGATAAGGAGCTGATCATTTAGGGCTGAGATAGGGAGAAATATCTTCACTCAAAGGGTTATTAATCTCATAATTTATTCCACTAGCACCCCCTCCCTTCATTGTTAAATACACTATAACACGTGCTTCATTAAAGTGAGTTGGCTGTAATGTGATTGATGAATAGTGGATGCTGTTTGGATAACGTGACCTTTCTGCTGTACAGCGATTTCCCTATAATGCAATTTTCTATGGCAATTTTATATAGCGTGATTTTCTACAGCACGAAGTCACACAACAATGCAACTATCGCGTTACAGAAGAAATTTGAAATATTCCTTCAACTCAACCCCTGCCCCTTCTCCCACCATGACTACCCACCTTTTAATAATACAATGGGTTGATTGGTCAACTTCTGCTCCTCTTTCCTACATTCTGTTCGGACAGTTGCATTTTTGGTCATAATAGCTTTTGGAAGAGAAATTTAACCTTCTCATTGCTCAAGTCAATGGGCAAAATTGTAATGGAAAGACCTTCAGAGGTTAGAGGGAAGACTCAAGAGGAGTTAACAACCTGTAGGAAGATCCTGGGATACCAACCTGGATATTGATCAAGACAATCTATTGCACTTTGTGCATGTTTCCTATCTGCTGACCCATAATGGTGACCTATAAGTTTCCTGTAACAATTGCTCTTCATGCAGTTGAACTGATTACAGCTGAAATCTGTAAAAAGAAGTGTATTTATAGGGTGACTTTTATGTAAAGGCAATTGATTAATCATATAAAGCAGCATTTGACAGAGCTCCATATGAAGATTGAAATGTGACCAAAAGCTGGATTAAAGAGATTGGTTTTAAGAAAAGTCTTTAAGTGGGGGTGAGGATTAGAGAGGTTTAAGGGAGGGACTCAAAGATATGGTCACCAATCAGAAAATAATCAAGAAAGCTAATGGAATGTTGGCCTTTATATCTAGAAGACTGGAGTGTAGGGATGCAGAAGTTACGTTGCTGTTATATAAAACCCTAGTTAGATTTCAATTAGAGCGCTGTGTGCAGATCACTCTGTGGGCACCACACCTTCGGAAGGATATGTTGGCCTTGAAGGGACTACAATGTAGGTTTACAACTATGATACCTGGAACTTAAGTGATTAAGTTATGAGAAGAGACTGTACAAGTTAGGTCCGTTTTCTCTAGATTTTCAAAGGTTAAGGAGCAATCTAATCAAAGTCTTCAAGATATTAACAGGAAAAGAAGGTAAATAAAGATAAACTATTTCCACTCGTTGGGGATTCTAGAACTGGGGGGCATAGTCTGAGACGTAGGGTCAGGCTCTTCAGGAGTGATGTTAGGAAGCGCTTCTACATGCAGAGCGTGGTAGTTGGGTAGCATATTGGCTAGCACTGCTGCCTCACAGCAGTAGAGACCTGTGTTTGATTCCAGCCTTGAACAACTGTCTGTGTGGAGTTTGCACGTTCTCCCTGTGTCTTCGTGGGTTTCTACTGGGTGCTCCCATTTCCTTCCACAGTCCAAAGATGTGCAGGTTACTGGATTGGCCATGGAAATGCAAGGTTACAGGGATAGGGTAGGGGGTTAGGTCAGGATGGGATGTTCTTCGGAGGGTCAGTGTGGACTCGATGGGCCAAATGGCCTGCTTCCACACTCTGGGGACTCTATGATATTTGGAACTCTTCCACAAAATGCAGTAGATGCTAGATCAGTTGTTAATTTTAAATCTGAGGCAGATAAATTTATTTTAAGTAAAAATATTAAGGGATATGGACCAAAAGCAGGTATATGGAGTTAGCCACAGACTAACCATGATCTCATCAAATGGTGGAACAGGCCTGAGGGGCTGAATGGCCTCCTCCAGTTTTTGTGTTCCAATGAGCCACCAGCCATATGATGGCTCAGTGGTTAGCACTGCTGCCTCACAGCACCTGGTACCCAGATTTGATTCCACCTTTGGGTGACTGTGTGGAGTTTGCACATTCTCTGTGTGTCTGCGTGGGTTTCCTCTGGGTGCTCCAGTTTCCTCCCACAGCCCAAAGATGTGTAGGTTAGGGTGGATTGGCCATGGGAAATTGCCCATAGTGTCCAGGCCTGTGCAGGCTAGGTGGGTTAGCCATGCTAAATTGCCCCTAGTGCCCAGGCCTGTGCAGGCTAGGTGGGTTAGCCATGCTAAATTGCCCATAGTGCCCAGGCCTGTGTAGGTTAGGTGGATTCGTCATGGGAAGTTGCCCCAAGTGCCCAAGCCTGTGCAGGCTAGGTGGATTGGCCATGGGAAATTGCCCCAAGTGCCCAAGCCTGTGCAGGTTAGGTGGATTGGCCATGGGAAATTGCCCATAGTGTCCAGGCCTGTGCAGGCTGGGTGGGTTAGCCATGGGAAATTACCCATAGTGCCCAGGCCTGTGCAGGCTAGGTGGGTTAGCCATGCTAAATTGCCCCTAGTGCCCAGGCCTGTGCAGGCTGGGTGGGTTAGCCATGGGAAATTACCCATA